CTTAATTTCTGAAACACAAATATGATCTAATTTTTTCCATGATTCAAATGTTTTTGTTTCATGATTCAAATGTTTTAATGTAGGAGCCAGGAAATAGCAATCTCTGGCTGAATCCAGCATGCAGAAATGTTTCGTTTGGACTTCAGTTTTTCCAACATTTTAAAAATTAGATTTCACATGAAAATCCCATTCTGGCCTTTTAAACACCTTGATCATCTTGAAGCATTTCATGCACGGCCAAATGACAGCAACCGTCTGGAGCTAAATAAAAGCCTCCATAGTCCCCAAAACCCAAACAAAGAGAGACCCCTTGAAGGAGTCATCCGTTTAAGCCAACTGTCTTGCTAAGTGAACTCTTATAACTGAGTTTCAACTTCCCCCAAAGTGTTGATCCAGGTAAAACAGGTGCTGGTGGCCACAGCACAGATACCTCCTTGCTCAGCTACAAATAACCAAGACTGTTCTATTTTCAAGAACAACTTTAGTCAGAGAGTCTAAAGATCTGGACAGATAATGCCTTAGCAACAAAATCTGTAATGGTAATGTCTCCAAGAATTAAGAAGGGGTTTCAGATCATATTCCCATTTGTATCTATTCCTAACCAGGAGAATATGGCCCTCCCAAAGGAAGTGATTCCTGAATCACGAATGCCTCCTTGTAGGCCTTTCTAGAACAGTTTTGAGCACAATCAGATAATCAAAGTCATTGTCCAGCTGTGTGCCAGCCAGCTAGGCACTCATAGGCCCAAGGAGAATAATGATAAACACTACAAACAAGGATAAATCCTATCAGAAAACCTAACTGACCCCATTCAAAGTAGGGGTCAGTTAGGTTTTCTGATAGCTAGAAATAAAAAAAGTTGTTCTAAATTCCAGAGGTTACCCCACTTAGCAATGGCCTGGGAGATATGGACGAAGGCATTATCTTTCCAGGCCAATGCCAGAGAGTAAAGGAAAGAAAGAAGAGAAAAAAAGGTCTAATGTTTAGATAACATAGTGTTGCAGAATTTACCAGGCGACCAGAAAATACACAATGAGTACTCGGAGATTCAGGAAAAAAAAAAAAAAAAAAAAAGAGACCTTTATTCAAAGCAGCGCTGCTGGCTCAGGGGATTCAAAGATCCAAAGCCTAAACATCTTATACAAGGAGATTACTCCTTATATATATTCCTAAAATTCTTTGTTTCCTAACTCCCGGGCTTTTGCAGCCCTACCTAAGTTAGAATGGGGAAGTAAGATTACAGCTAAAGGCCTGGCATGGGTGGTGCCAGGGACCTCCTCTCTGGCTGAGCTGTTAAATTCTGGGTTTGTGGCCCTTGTAAACTGGGAGTATTTAGGAAAACAGATTATTGCCTAAGGCAGGGGCAGTGACTTAATTATAGGCTAACAAGAATGTGCAGTAAGATACTGGTTACTGGCACGGATTCAGATTGCTCACCCCCTTCTCTCCCCCCCCCCCCCCCCCCAGCTCCATGTTCTAAAAGTTTTTCTTATTTGGAACCTCATGCAAGGTCAGTTTCCCAGGCATTGTTTTAAAGCACATGTAGAAGTGGTTGCCATAACCTTTAGAGCCGTGGTTCTCAACCTTCTGGCCCTTTAAATACAGTTCCTCATGTTGTGGTGACCCCCAACCATAAAATTATTTTCGTTGCTACTTCATAACTGTAATTTTGCTACTGTTATGAATCGTAATGTAATTATATATGTGTTTTCCGATGGTCACCCCTGTGAAAGGGTCGTTCGACCCCCAAAGGGGTCG